ACTGTAAGTTCATTGGGATAAGAATTTACCTTGTGGCCTTATGTCACTCTGTAAAATGACATTTCCAGTGATGGTACAAAAGTAAATAAAGCATAATGTCTAATAGGCATTATTCACTCTAAACCTTTTTGAAAATGAAGTGTTCAGCTCAAACTGTTTTAGTATGAAAAAAAACGTTGGTGGAGTTTAGTCTCGAAATTAAAGGAGCTGTCCAAAATACTCATGTCTGCTCTCCAAAAAGGTTCATCACCCTGGATAGCACCTTTAAAATTTAGATAAAACCCATGTTGGAGGCACACACCACCATGAAGGACAAACATATCATGAACATGCTCCCTAATGTTTATTCCAATATTTCAATCTCTAAGGCATTCATCACATTACTTTTGAATCAGCTACTATTGGATTTTGCTTCCAGGTATATCCCTTTGCATTTTGTTTTAGTCATCACCCAACTTCATTGAAACTGGATCTGGATAATGTTTTGGTTTTTAAAATAATATACTTGAATGCAGAATTATGCTTCAGATGTGTATTTCAGATATCATGGTGATATTTCATTATTCATTAGGAAAAAATTAAACAGACCAAAATACGCTGTGTAGATAAAATGAAGGTCTCCCTCTTCCCCCTGTCTTCCCCAGAATATCTATCACTCAGGATTACTCAGTCAAATTGGGCTTGGATCTAAATGTGCTTTTGAACACATATCCATTCTTCTAATGTGCCATTCTGGATCCCACAAACTCTGTCTCCCTACCACATATTCTCTAATATTCTGGAGGGTTCCAATACTTAAAATGGTAGGGATGATAAAGTCCCATTGCACCAACAGAGTTCCACAGAGTTCACATAAAATCCAGAAATTGGAAATAAATTTGGAAAAAGAAGTACTTATTCACAGAATTCATCAATTTAGAGAACTTGCTGTGATAAAGAGTGACAGTGGCTACTTATTTTGATGGACCCCAAAGGGTCTTGGACAAATTCATGAAGGATTGATCATGAATTTAGCCATATTCATGAAAGAGCTGGTGTAATAATAATAATAATAATAATAATAATAATAATAATAATAATAATAATAATTTATACCCTGCCCCTCTGAGAACAATCGGGGTGGCTAACAGCATATTAAATTTCCAATACAGTCAATATAATCAAACCACAGACTCTCCCCCCCTTAAAACAGTATTAAACTAGTAC